CTTTGGAGAAAGTCTATCGGCCCGTTTTTGAGAAATTGCATTCCAAACTTCAATCGACATTTCCCAAACCTGCTGATTTGTACTATGTAGTTTTGGTGGAACTTTCCGATATAGGCGATTGTTAAAGTGGTGCGCATTGGCTTCCATATAATGAATAAACTCAATTTATTTGTATATGGAAGAAAACCGCAACATCCTTGGCGAACAAAATTCTAAAAAGTCAGCGGTAACTTTTAGACACTTGAAACTTGCACATTATCAGACTAAAATAGATTGGGCTATAAAACTGTGTATTCAGAAAAATTCAAACACTTCCGAGAAAAAAGTTTGAAATTTAGGTTAAAATTTGTTGCACTTTTTTGTAGTTTTCTATAAGTTTTCAAACTTGGGTTTATATGGGTTTTGTTAGATAAAGAACTGTATTTTAATTGAAAATTCTTAAAAATAAATAAATAAAAATAAGTGGCACACAATATCACTTTGAAATGGCGTGCTATAGATATGACCGATACTGTATGTGTGTTTACATTCCTTGAATTTCTTAAAGTTTTTGTTTTATGTAGGAACTCGTTTATTTTTATATTATATCTATACGCAAACATATTTATGTACATTTTTCATGTATGTAAATTAAAATTACCAAAGTTTTTGTTTTGTATGTAATAGGTATGATAGGAATACATATGAGTGGAAGATCGACCTATCTCAGCAGCCAGTTTGAAAACGCCCTATCTCAGAAAACTTTTCCAAGAACGCCTTATTTCAGAATTTAGTTTAAAAACGTCCTATCTCAACTGAAAATATATTGTTAATATGTTCAGATAGGGCGTTTTCGAACTGGCTGCCGAGATATGTCGATCTTCCACATCTAAATGTATTCGTCAATTGAACTAAATTGACTTTATGAACTAAAGAACTATTTCATTAAGGTGAACGAACTACAACCGAACGGTTGACTCAAAAGAACTAAAGTGCCCAACTCGTAATATTCAGAAAAATAGCTTTCCGTAGAGTAAATACTCAGTGTAAACCTTTAGATGAAGGCTTATAAGAAAACAAGTAAGAAAGTCTAAGTTCGGGCGGAGCCGAACATTAAATACCCGGCGCAAGTATTAAATATATGTTTTTTCACCTTTCCGAAACCTATACCGCTAGATGGTAAGTCGGGGTGTATCAATTTTAAGTAAATTAGCGTCCTTAAATTTCGAAATATTGCAGTTTCAAGCATTTCTGAAATTTACCGTTATACGAAAATCTGCCGTTATTTTAGTCCGATTTCAATAATTTTCAACATTTTGCTTTTATGTGGCACGCACAATACCCATACCGAGTTTGGTACAAATTGGTAGAACGGTTACCGAGATACATATATGTGATAATAAGTGGGCGGTGCCACGCCCTTTTTCCAAAATTTTATCATAAACGTATTTCTTGGTAAAGAATTTGTTGCAAGCATCTATTTTGAATAAATTAGCTTTAATATTTACTGATTTATCGAAGATTTGTATTTCTCTAAATTACCGTTATATGGGATGTGGGCGTGGTTATTGTCCGATTTTAAAAATTTTCAGCCATTTGGTATGCTGTACCAAGGCCAACAACTGTGCCAAGTTTGGAAGAAATCGGTGCAGCGGTTACCAAGGTATACACATGTAACCATTAGTGGGCGTGGCTACGCCCATTTTCCAAAAATCTATAATATTCTTATTTTTCGTCTAAAATTTATTGTAAATATCAAATTTGAGTGAATAATCTTCAGAAGTTACTAAAATATCGTAGTTTTCGTATTTCGGAAAATTACCGTTATATGGGAAGTGGGCGTGGTTGCAGTCCGATTTCGCCCATTTTCAATACCACCCGTCCTACGCCCGAAAGAAGTGCACTTACCAAGTTTCGTTAAGATATCTCAATTTTTACTCGAGTTTTCGTGTGCACAGACGGACAGACAGTCACCGCTTAATCGATTTCTCTCTTCATTCTGATCATTTATGTATACATTTGTCTATATCTATCTCGATTCGTTTTGCCTGTTACAAACAACCGTTATGTGAACAAGTACGCTCGGGTATAAAAAGAACTACAAAACTAGCGCCTTAGGGAACACCTGATATAAAGCCCAAAGAGCTCATCGCCAACGCGTAAAGGCTCGTAAATCTTTCTCAGAAACTTTCTCCCGAAAACTCCCAAGAGCCGCTTCATCAGATGTGTTTCCATTGTCCATGCCTCCGCGCCCACACACCAGTACAGCCATGATGAGTGACTGATAGAGTGTGAGTGACCTACACTTTTCGTAATTCGTAATTCGTAGCTCCGTTATGAAAACTGAAAAATGGACTTGCTGCAACCCTTGCGGAAACGTTGTTTTTGTTTCAGTTGTTTTTGAAGTCAGCTGAGTTTACGGATTTTCCAATTTTTCTATATCTTGAAAATCATGTAAGTAACATAGCGGCCATGTGTACTATCCGCAGCACTTAAAACTTAAACTTAAAATTGTAATATCTCGGCGAAGTTTTTGTATTTTTTTTTTTAGAAAAATTTCTCTGGCTAGCATACACAACTTCAAAAATGGGCAAAAACGGAATTTTTTGCAGTTATAGGTTAGAATATCTTAAAATCCTGATGTGATAGAACAATTCTGTGGCCAGATTTGAATTCAGCGCACCGAAACCCTTCGTGAAAATATAGTCTGGTTTCAGGGTAAAAATTTTTTTCGGCCTTTGTAATCTTTCTCAGAGTGAAAATTTAAGTAATCGGTTGAAAATGAAAATGTTCAAAATTTTCGCTTTTTTTATACGGGGTCATTTGCTTTTATTTGACAATTATGAATAAATTATGTGATATTTAAGTTTCAAGTTTATTTAATGTTTCAATTACATATACATACATTAATTAATACACATATTAATGTAATACATCAAAAAACAAATAATAATAATAATACTAACAAAAGACATCGTAATAACTAAAATTTACATAAGAGGTAGTTCCACATTCTCCAATAGACTTTGTCTCAACATTGCCTTGAAAGGCGAAATACTTTGTACGGTTCAAATGCAACTGAGCAAGTTATTGAACCCAATAGGCCCAGCCTACTCTATTCTCTGTTTCCAAGCGACACCTAACAACATTCAAACATATTCCACTTCGACCACCAAAACTGGATTGAATTACTTGAAAGTCTGACTTAGCATATTCCTTGTATAATCCTATAGAGCAATATCTCAACCGCAGATCGAAAACTACCTTGAGCGCTCGATTTTGAAGAGATTAAAGATTTTAACTCCCGAGATTTTTTATGAGCATATAGTATAGGTAAATAAGATAAGTGACTATTAATAGTATAGTATATAATAATTATTAAGTGACTGATATAATAAAATTTTAACGCCACTCAAAATTTTGTTCTTGCATTTGTACATAATACCGATTGCAGGTGAGACCCTAGATTTCAGTTTATCTATGTATATTCACATCTAAATATATAACAGTGTCCGTCTCGTAAATCTCTTTTCCCTCAATGTAAACGCTAAGGCAGTAACCTCCTTTCGGGGAACATACGACCTAAAGCGTACGAACAGCCAACTCTGCATGATCGACACATCATACTCTCCCTGGCATTCACTAAGCGGTCTCTAGTCACTAATAGTGACTTTTGGTGGTGAACTTGGATTTAGAGACTATTTGGTATTCAGTACGCTTTCTCACGTCTCTAGTCTCAAAAATAAGTCACTAATTTGTCAGCTGGCTAAGAGCAGGTCACAAAAATAGAAGTATGGAGGAAAATCTTATTTCTTTCCTTTTTATTAAAAAAACGCGAAAATGAAGCGAGGAAATTTGTTCAACAAGAACTTCATTAGGAAATAAACCAAAATGCTTTAATATCATACAAATGTATTGAAAAAAAATATATTTCTTTGTCTTTAAAACATTAAAATCTAAAGATTGTTAAAAAATAAAGGGAATAAAAAAATACTAAAAAAAATAATAAAGAATCCTCTACGCCCGAGAAGGACTTGAAGCCGGACCCTCTCGGCTGTCAGCCTAATGCTTTGACCACTCGGCTATTGCGACTCTTTGAGCGGTGCGGGCAAAAGGCATACATAAACGCTGTCAGTTGATTGTCTGTGTTTGTTTTCACCACACATTGTTGGTGAACTTTTTGTGACTCTATCCTTCTGAATACCCAAATCGTCCCAAAAATAGTCACTAATTGCTAATCTCAAATTTAGTGACTTGAGATGAGACTGAATTACTGAATCCCATGGTCTATTTAACTTTTAGTTCTGCATCGGGTCTATAGCATTTTCAGTTTAAATGAAACTTTTTTCAAATTAAATGAAACCATTTTCAAACAAAGCGAAACCTTTTTCAAATTAAATGATACCGTTTTCAGGTCAAGCGAAACCATTTTCAAATTAAATGAAACCTTTTTCAGATAAAGTGAAACCTTTTTCAAATTAAACGAAACTTTATTAAAATTAAATGAAATGTTAAATGTTTCATTTAATTTGAAAATGGTTTCACTCAATTTGAATATGGTTTCATTTAAACTGAAAATGCTATATAAGGATAAAGTAAGCATATGTCATCTGCGAACATAATCAGAGCTTAAAAAGTAAGAGCCATAGAACACTGCCCTGAAGTACTCCGCAAGCAATAACGCTAATAACAGCTTCCTCGATGCTAGATCTTTTTTTAAAACCAAATTTATGAGAATATATAACATTCTCAATATCAAGATACTCCGTCAACTGCTGACTTATTACCAGTTTCTCAAAAATCTTATCAATAATATAAAGAAGTGCCACTGGTCTGTAGTTATCAATCTTTTTTGCGGATTTTTGAATGTCAGGATACCAAGAATTCCCATTTATCAAATTAATAGTGTAGCTAAGTATGGCGCGATTAAGTTCTTACTTTCGTAGATCATTTTAGGTGTCATATTATCATGGCCACGAACTTTAGAAACTTCATTATTTTTGTTTTCTTTTAGAAAAAAAGTAAAATTTGAGCTTTCATATTTGACCAAAAAAAAATGGAAGTATAATTTTAACTGCAATTTTTGATTGAAGAAATATCGATCATAAAATAACTGTTAATTGCTGACTTTTTTGAAAAAAGTCCGAATATTCTTTGGCTATCAAGCTTCACATTGTTATATATATGTATACAAATATTAAATACGCAAAATCTTTTCGACAACCTTTTTGAACTGCAATTACAAAAATAACTACATATAACTTTCGATCCCTACTAATTTACCTCGAAAGTTTTCGGGGCACGCGAAAAGCGCCTCATATAATTTCGACAGTTATTTTTCTAGGCTGGAAAAGTTTCGAGGATTTTCAGACATTTCGCGTTTAAGGGAATCTTCTAATTTTTTACACTTGCACTTATTTAAAGCATATTCTTTGGCGTTAGTTGATTCAGTCATACTGTAAAGGAAATATTCAATTATTGCTTTTTTAATATGATGGATACTCTTGAATATTACCCATATATGTATGTACATAGATTGCAAATAGTGCCAAAAACCAGGATTTTGTAAGTTTCGCGATTCTTTGGTATCTACTCATTTCGGGGCAGGTCCGTTTTTTGCTAATTTATTCTCCAATATCCACGCGGACTACACTGCATTTTTTCTTCTAATTCCATTATGCATGGTCTACATGCTCACAGCAATTTTCCCTTTACTTTGTTAACGTTTTCAATGTGTTGCACTTTTTGATGAAATATCAAGAGTGTTTTTTTTTTTTTGGCTTGCTTTATTAGAGAGTTTGTTGCTCTTTACATAGGAGGGCATTTCAATACGAATGGCAGTTCGTTGAGGTGCTCGTGTCAGGTGTTATTTTGTTGATGATTTTGGTTTTACTGGAAAATCCTTCCACAAGACACTATACAATTTATCAAGAATTACAAGATTATAAAATATTGCACATAATGCATCCAATGTCTTTGTTTGCAATTCAGATGACACACATATATGCATGTGAGTTGGTAAATCTCTGCGGCCGACTTGAATTTTCTTAAACATTTACTCCACCAACTCACAATTTTTTGGTTTAATTAAGCACTGAATTTGCAACGACCGCGTTTTCCCCATCTAACAGATACATTTTAGGTGTATTTATGTTTACCAATTACTTGTTTTCGTTCGCAAAATCGTGTTAACTCTTTCAAACATATCGCACATTGTATCGCTATCTTTCACCTTACGTAAGTGATACGTATTTATGTACATATGTAGCCAAGCTTGCCATCTCAATGAGTAGTATATCGCTAGTTTAGCGAAATGCATATAAAATACGAATGCACGGGGTTCGAATACACATTGATACTCTCAAAAACGCACAAAAATGTGAGAATTTAGTGGCTTTGAAGAGCTTATGGCGGAAGAGGGTCGTCGAGGGCAGGGTGTTTATTTTGCGGCAACTTGTGCACAGCAACCGTTGAACACCATCAAGAGCAAGCACGTAGCCCCACATCCGCCTGGGCAATGAAATTCGTTGAGAAGGCATTGAGAGTTGCAATTTATGTATATATCAGGCGTCGCGTTGTGAACCCATCCGCTCGCGAGACCTCTCCAGCTACTTCAAGCGTTCATCATTTTGCTGTATCTGTATTTACCACAGCGATTGCACTCATGTGGGACGTAAATCGAAGTGAAAGAGAAGAGGGAACATAACCAATGGCGGTTATGGCTCTTGCCTGATGACTTCCGATTGCTGACATTTCGCATATACTACTAAATTTCGTTGATTTTATATATGTATATACAATTTTTCAAGTCTGTTTAGTTTCGGTGAAGTCAACCATCAGTGCCACGAGATTCCCAACTTCCTCAACAGCATATGACTAAATTTGAATATGTTAACTTATCTGGCCTCCTCACATTATCGGTGGACCTCCCTTTAGTTTTAATATATAAAGGTAGAAATTATGTAAAGTAGTTGTACGTATTATGAGAAGCTCACCAGTTTCAGCACCAGTGTTTTAAGTTCAATCGTTGGTGTAAACGTGTTTTAAAAGCTTAAAAGTCTGACCGACCACAGATCAATGCTGGTGTGGCCGGAGCGCCGCTAAGCACACGGTGCTGTTTTTAGCACTTTGTTGGCAAGAATGTGTGCGCTAATAAAAATTTGCTCAAAAAGTGCCGTGTTCCCGAAGATGGAACGAGAGCTACCAGATTGGTTTAGTTGTTGAGCGAATATAAATTAAATAATTAAAATTTACTACACATTTCTATAAGTTACAGAACATCGATTGCACAATTTTAAAATTTTTCTCTACGTACTAATGATTTTGCCCTTACTGGCCGTCTCCACAGGATAAAATTTATTGCTGCCCAGCTGTCATTTTGGTCGCTAGATATAAGTTATATTAGTGGCAATAATTGTGTGGGCTTTTTATATCTTCCGGATTTAATCGCTTAAAAAATGTAGAAAATATGCTATTTTACATCCAAGTACATAATTACAAATATTTTAACAGAAACAGCTCAATTTTTGCTTTTCTATTAAAATAATAATGATGTTACAGCCACGAAGTTTTCGTGCAAATGAAAATGTAGCTGTCAAACTACCAAATTGCCGGCAATAGATGGCAAGATATAAGCTCTGATATATATTGCTCTTTAAGAGCAATGAGCGGTCTCCATTAGCGATTTATATTCTAACATATGTATCAAGATATAAACTTTATCCTGTGGAGACGGGCAGTTAGGCGTTAGCGACTTTCTTCACATGTTTGAAAATCTCGCTTGCGTTCTACTTTTTTCTCTCGCAAGCGAAATAGAG